CATGTTTTTGCTGTTGTGAATAGAGCTGCAACAAACATACGTGTGCAGGTATCTTTTTTGTAGAATGATTTGAGTTCCTCCGGGTATATTATTAATAGAGGAATTGCTGGGTCATATGGAAGGTCAATACTAGTTCTTTCAGAAATCACCACACTGTCTTCCAAGAGGTTGCGCTAGTCTGCATTCCCACCAGTAGTGTAGAAGCATTCCTTTTTCTCCGCATCCTCACCAGCAGCTGTTGTCTGTTTTATTAATAATGGCCATTCTTACTGGGGTTAGGTGGTATCTCAATGTGGTTTTGATTTGCATTTCTCTGATGATGAGTGAGGTTGAGCACTTTTTCATGTGTCTGTTGGCCGCCCTAAAATTCTTTTTTAGGTCAGGCATGAAGTAATCCCAGAACTCTGGGAGGCTGAGGCAGGAGAACTGCTTGAGTCCAGGAATTTGAGATCAGACTAGGCAACATAACCAGACCCCGTCTTCACAAAAAAATTTAAAACATTAGCCGGGCATGATGGCATGTACCTGTGGACTCAACTACTCAGGAGGCTGAAGCAGAGGGATTGCCTGAGCCCAGAAGTTCAAGGCTGTGGTGAGCTGTGATTGTGCCACTGCACTCCAGACTGGGCAACAGAGTGAAACCCCAACTTGAACAAACAAACAAAAAAGCCTTACTTGGGATAAGTTAAGGTTCTTGACAAAGATACAAAAAAGCTGATTTCCACAGATGTTGTGTTAATTTTCACTTTCCCTAGATGGATGAGTGTTTCCATCACACACCACCTTTGCTAGTATAATTCTTTTATTTTACTTTTTTTTTTGAGCTGGAGTCTCACTCTGTCGCCCAGGCTGGAATGCAATGGCACGCTCATGGCCACCCCAGCATCAACCTGCTGGGCTCAGGTGATTCTTCTGCCTTAGCCTTCCAAGTAGCCAGAACTACAGGGGTGCGCCACCACACCCAGCTAATTTTTTGATTTTTGATTGTAGAGATGAGGTCTCACCAAGTTGCCCAGGCTATTCTGGAACCCGTGGGCTCAGGCAATCCCCTCACCTCGGCCTCCCAAAGTGCTGGGATTACAGGCTTGAGCTACCGTGCCCTATAATTCTATTTTTTTAATGAGTCCTCTTCCATTCCCCTATCCTCTGCTAAATGAAAGAGACTCTCTAAAGCATAAGAAATGACAAATCACATCCTACTGATACACTAATGCATGGGACAAAAGAGGTGTGCAAATCCAGCTTATCAATTTCCAGTTTATTATTTTGAACTTTCTCAATTTTCAAAAATAAGCTTTAAAAAGTAGAGTTTAGGCCAGGCTCAGTGGCACAGTCTGCAATCCCAGCACTTTGGGAGGCCAAGATGAGTGGATTGCCTGAGCCCACAGGTTTGAGACCCGCCTGGGCAACTTGGTGAGACCTCATCTCTACAATAAATCAAAAATTAGCTAGGCGTGGTAGCACGCACCTGAAGTTCCAACTACTTGAAAGGCTGAGGCGGAAGGATCGCCAGAGCCCAGCAGGTCGAGGCTGCGGTGGCTGGAAGCGTGCCACTGCACTCCAGTCTGGGCGACAGAGTGAGACTCCAACTCAAAAAAAAAATAAAATAAAAATAAAAAGTAGAGTTTAAAGCACAACATCTAACTTTACTTATACGCAGGCTGCTAGAACCACAACCACTAAATCTTTAAATACTCTCTGATTATAAAAATATTTTAATTTCCTGAAAAATTATCCTAAGTATGCTTATAAATATTAAAAAGTCTAGGCTTTGAGACTCATTCACTAACAAACTCAGAATATTAAAACTGGGAAAGAATAGCCCTTTACTGATAACTGGCTCAAGTACAAAAAACAGAATTTAGAAATCAATAATTTGTACTCTATTATGCACTGGTATTATGTGATCTAGAAATGGCAATGAACCAAAATAAACGTCCAACTATACATTTCAGAAAAGATAAAGCACTGACTAGGGCCCGCTGGTCTCTAAAGTTTAATAACTTATTAATTTAAAAATTAAATTTTCAAGAATTTTTTAAGGTTATGTGTTATACCATCACTCCAATCACCCAAGATACACAAAAAAGTTCAATTAATGAATACTACATTTTTATTGCTGGAGTTGCTCTGACAAGCTTTGAGGTGAACTGTATAATTGATTTTACTGTCCTATATGATTAATTTTTGCAAGCCAGTTAGGTTCAACTAATTTATTTTCAGTTGAGTATGATACACAGTGCAATCAATTGCTAATCATTTTTTTATTTAGAATTTATTTATTGAGTAAAATATACAAAATTTAAAAGACTTTATTTGTAAAAATAATAAATCAAAAACAATTATATTATTTTAATACAGAAAACTACACCAAAGGCCTAAAAAATCGACAATTTTCTGTTATTCACACTCACCTGGCGCAAAAGCTTCATATCCTTCAGGACAAAGGCAATGTAGAAGAGTGAGGCAAAGCAATTGAGAAAGTTAAACTGCCAAGAAAAAAGATAATGTTAAGTACTGCTTGATTGTACTGTATTACAACTGTAAATGTAGCATTTAAAAATGTAATGAGGGGCTTCTAGTTTAGATGAGATAACATAGACCGTTTCTCCATATATTTCTTTACTAAATAAATAAATACTGGCAATAACGCAAGACACAACTAAAGGAAGACTCTGAAGGGCACTGAAAGGAAAGGAAGACTGGTTTGGATCCCAGCACTGAAGGAACAACACAGCCCCAACACATCTCAAGTTCCCCCATACAACAGGAAGAGACCAGGGCCCAGCATTTCCTAACCCCAACCCAGCAACCCAGGAAGGCCCATTCCTCCCCCATTTGAATATGAGTCCCATCAATACCAGACCCCCCTCCACCAACAGTAAGCTTCCCAGAGAAGTGTTCTCCTTCCCTGCTGGACCTGACACTCCCCTGCTCTATGGAGAGATCCCAGGATGGCCAAGCAGCACTCGCAAGAAACACCACAGCATAAGCAGCCCAGTCCTGGTAGCCTTTTTGTGCCTGTGTAACTCTCCTCCCACACCAGGATAAGTGGGGCAGTTGGGTAATACTGGCAAGGGGAACCCTGTCTCAAATGCCCCCACATAAGAAGCCTGTTGTGCCCGTGGATCTGAGACTCCTTTCTGTCACAGAGACAGCAAGGTAACTGGGTGGCCACAACAACCAGCCCAGCCTGGAAAGCATCTTTGTCACTACAGGCATGAGCTTCTCCTCTTTTGCCAGACACACTGTGGCAGTCTAAGGGAGGGTGGCAGGGATCCTGCCACCAAAAGTGCCATTCCTTCAATAGTTTCCCTGCTCAAAACCTGCAGAAACCTCCTGCACTAGTGGGCTTCCTTTCTACCTCCCAGACCCTGTGCTGACTCCTCCTTCCTGTTTGGTAGCACCACTTTGTGAGACAAAGGCTGCTATTTTTACAAGAGTGAGCATTAACTAGTGAGGAGATGGGAGTCATTCTAGAGAGTGAGCAGTAAGATCAATATGGCCACAGGACAAGGGATGCTAAATTAGATTCGAAGTTGAAAAACAAAAGCATGGGAAAGCTGAGAAACACTAACCCCATAACATAAAAAAAGAAAGGGAAAGATCTAAGAAGCAACATGGAGGAAGAACAGACTCTAAAGAAGGATCTTTTCCAAGGCAATTACCTGGCATGTACCTGGCACTGTTAAGGATTAACAAAGCCTCACAAACAAGTGAATTCTTTAAGACAAATGGAGAGTTTTTACTTCGGAGAACAAAAGTTCTTATTTCTCAATGAATATTTTAATACATTACCTGTCCCCCTTCTTTCTAACGCAGAGAACACAGAGTATAACTACCTTGCTGATTCAGTACCAACATTTAAAATATCAATCATGTCACAGTGTGAGGCCTTCGGACATTTTTAGATGTATGAAGGGGAACCCAAAAGAAATGGAATTTATTTATTTAAAAATTGTGTATCTATTCTTAAATGTTTAAACTTCAGTCCTCTTCTAAGTACTCTTCGTTTGATGCAATACACCTATCAAGACACTTTTTCCACTGCTCAAAACAGTTTTGAATTTGATAACTTTTAGTGCTTATGCCATCTTTTTGTTTCACTTTTTCTATATTGACAAAAATGTTTCCCTTTGAGGACTTTTTCATTCGGAGATACAGAAAAAAAGGCACTTGGGGCTAGATGTTGTTTTTGGTCAAAAACTGCTAAACACTCAGCATGGTATGGGCAGGTTGTTCATGTAAATCACTCATCATGAAATGGGCAAGCGTATTGAAAGAAACTCCAAAAAAATTCATTGAAGCCAAATGCAGTCCCTCCAACACTAGCTGGTATACTGATGCCGAGGGGTTCCTACAGCATTCACCTAGCAGGGAAGCCTGTATTACAAGGGGCCTGCCTTCCAAAATAATAATTCAAGTTTCAGGGGGGTTCCCCCTAGAATATGACTACTTGTCCCTTTTCTAATGCCCAAATTGTTGAATTCTTATTTGTTTATGACAAGTTTCTTTTTCCTTACCTGTCCTTCTATAAGTTTACCTACTTTCAGAAATCTAAACACCCTCATAATGGGGGTTTCTAATCTTTTAAGTCCTGAAAATCCAGACAGATAAACTTCTTAGAATGACTTCTACAGCTGGAACAAAGACTATAAGTGAGGGCCTAGATTCCTTTCTTGGGAGTAAAATACACAGACTGTGTTAAATAAATTCCAGTTGAAAGCCCAGAGGACTCTTCAAGCACCCTTCTTGATTCTCAGTTTTGTCACAAATGGCTGAGATAACTGCCTATAAACAAGATGCTTCTGAGCTAGTATTATTTAGAATAATTTAGAACACATTATGTGGAAAGAGGCATAATGTGTGAGCTTTTACAAAAACAGCAAACAGGTTACACAATGCTTTCTCTCCATCTCTCTCCTCCTACCCATCACAACATGTTGGGACTCTTTTAGACTGAAAATTTCTCTAGCAAAATTAAAAATGTTAGTGTTCCATCACTAAACAGATTGCATGTACCTGGAAGGATTGCTGAATAGCAAAACATTCCAAATGATTTCTTTGAATGTTTTTCAAAAGGAAAAGAATAGACACATACCTATAAAGTGGTTAGTTTTTAAATAACTGGAAATGGGCTAAAATATTAATTCTTATATTTCAAAGTCTTACACCACGTGCATATTTGTATTAAAATTACTGGACATAGATTTTAAAGCATTTATTATTAATCAGTCCTTGCATACTTGTACAAAATATATGCACTGATACCTTAAGTCAGAAGCAACTCTTCATGTTTATATTTCTAAACACTAAATATTAGTAGTACATATCAGTTTCATAATCAAAATGGAGTTGTACATAAACATTATACTTACCACTAAAACTTTCAGAATTAGATGATTCTGATAGGCAGATTCCAATCTGTGATTCTCTAAAATATTAAAAAAGAGAGGTCATTTTTTCTCAATAAAAAAATAACATGGAAGAACTATCATGAGGTAAAGTGGGACTTGTGCTGAGGGCAGAGATGTCCAACACCAGAGCCTCCATCCATAAATTTGCTAGACTGTCAATCACGGTTACTCCTTACCACCAAGAAATCAAGCAAGGACACATTCTCCATGGTACTACAATAGCACTGTCTGAAGTAATTTTTAAAATATTACTGCTATAAAGAAACATAGAACATGTTGGCAATGATCCTATAGACAGCCACCCAAAAAAAGACTCAGTATGAGTAGTAATAGCAAAAACTGAGAGTAAACTTTGACGAATAGGGCAATAAAGTTTTCTGTGCATGTGACTTACAAGAATTAACTTGAAGGGAAACTCAAATTTCCACCATCATCTAGAAAAGGTGACACTATAGATCCCAAGACAGCAGGAAAACAATGACAAAAATAAAGATTCTGAAGAGAAGTACCATCTTACACAGAGAGGCAGTGTTAGACCTGGATTTGAACACCAACTCAGCTACTAAGCCACTGCCTGTCCGTGGGTAAGTTATTTAACTCCTGATACTCAGCTTCCTTGCCTACAAAACAGGAGTGACCATTCTCCTCTCAGGAGCAGAAATAAAATGAAACTTCAACATACTATCAGCATAAGGGAAGCACCCAATCAGAGGTAGCTGTTGCTGTGATATAACTAATAAAAATGACTAATAAAATATCTTTATGGCTCATGAAGTTAAGGTCTAGACTTCTTCCTAGGGAATAATATAGCATATTTGTTTATTTTTATGAATGAATACATAAAGAATGATAGCCTATCAATATCATTTTCGACCTATAACCAAGTTTATAACCAAATTCCTCTTTTACCACAGATACATCCATGAACACCTGACTCCGTTGAGCTCAATGGCAGTCCTCAGTGGCACACGACAATTAGACAAGCGGTTTTAGGAAACCAGTCATAGTTCATTCAGTTGATATCATAAAGATAATTTCCATCTATTTTATCCTCAGCATAAAACATAATGTTATAGTATTAGAAGCACAGGTTTTAGACACACAGGTCTGAATTAGCCTGGTTCTACTATTTGCTGTCTGACCTTGCTAAGTATTAGTATCTTTATCCATAAAATGGTGAAATAACTTCTAACTCATAGTGCTCTGGGGAGGTGAGGATGAGATACTGTAGATAAAGTGCTTAGAAGGGCACCTAGAACTTAGTAACTAACACTCAATAAATGAGAGATGTGATCACCATGATGTGGAGATCATCAGTGTTCACAAACCAATGAATTTTTCCTTCTGTCTCTATAATGAGCAACATCTATCTTCTCTGCCAGGTAGCAACTATAAGAAGCCTATGATCTGAGCAATATTTCTTACAGGCAAATAAGACATGAATACAAAGCATCAACTCCTACCCCATGAAGTTAAAAACTCGGCAGCATATCGATAGAGGCGGTTCATGATCTCAATCACAATGGCATAGATGATGCTGGGCACATACAACAGGATATTGGTCCACTCAGATCCGCTGTTCTCATGTAGACCTAAGGCCCAGGCCTCCATGTCGAAGTAAATCATCATGACATACAGAGAGAAATAGAGACAGAGGCACACAAATGGCAGGGAGACCAGGTAAATTCGCAACTGCCTCTTGTAGCTGGGGTAGAGAGGCTCCTCCCTGCCGGTGACAGAATTGATACCCAGGATGCCATGAAATCCAGGCCGGGGTTCCTCAAACTGTCTCTTCATGAGCAGCGTCCCCCACCTGTAGGTCATGTTGGCACAGCCACGCTTCCACACTTCCAGGATCACCGTGGACCAGATCAGGTTGAATGAGGCAAAGATCACATACTTGTCATAGTCTTCCCACACAAACATGTAGTAAGGTAAACCGATGACAGCCATGGGGATTAAGGCAAAAGTGAAATATTCCAAAAATCCAAAGTAAAGAGCGATTGTTTCTCCAAAGTAGCTACGAATGCTGTCTACAGGAAGGAAAGAAAGAATTTCACTACAGACAAAGACTTTTTAAACATCATTTCAAGTAAGCTTAGTCATTTTTTATTTAAGTAGGGATCATTTAACCCTCATCTCCCAATCAGTGTATGGTGTTAAGTCTGTCCTCTATGCAGCACAAAGGCCCCACTTACCTCTATGGTGAGCCCAACATTTCCCCCAGCTTAGGGCCCAAGCCTTAGCTGTTGGGGTTGCCCTACCAGGTGCTCTGGCTCTGTTTTACCTCTACTTCCTCACCTGATAGATACCTTCTTTCCAAAGAAAACCACATCTTGAGGCTTCCCCAAAAACTCCAAGGTCTTAATTTAAGTTAGGCTGTGGACATTGAATCATTTTAATTTGGAGGTTTAATTTATACTTCCCACTTTACTCCCATTTAGTGTTATAAGTGTTCTTTTCAAAGAAGACTCCCTGTCCATAGTGTCCTGTTCTCCCTACCCAATGATATAAATTTGTATCAATGTGTCATGGTAGATGTTTCAATACACTAAAGAAAAATTATTCAAAAGTACAAAATAGGATTCTACACATTTACTTCTACAACGGCCATTAAACACATCTATCCACAACTTCATATAAGCACTGGGCAGAAGGTGGTCCAAGCAACCTTACTGCGAATATTCTATGAACTCTACACAAGCAAACTAACCCAAGAGAGGACACAACTGCATCCTTTGCCAGTTTCATCAACATGGGGAATACCTGGATCATACTGCCCTGGGACCAGGGAGTATAGCAGCTGGCATTATTATTTCTTAATTACATGCATTTAAACTATACATATTTTTTAGGATAATGTGAACAGACAGTCTATGAAGGTGGGTAAATGAACTAGGATAAGCTATTTTCTCCTATCCTTAATCCTTCTAGTTAACTCAGGAGTAAATGAAAGCAATGGGTACAATGAAGTCACCTCAAATCTGAATCAGGTTAAAGAATATGGAATATACAATCAACTCAAAAAAGAAAAAAAAAAAAGATGCTCATGGTACTGGGCTCCACAGCAGACCTTCCCCTTTTGATCTTGGGGAAGCTCAAAATCTGACTCTGTCCCAGATTCTACCACCAGTCTCAGGACTCCTCAGAGGCCTCCAACCCACTACTGCCCCATGCCCAGCCTTCAGCATCAACTCAATTTATCTCTTTACTTTCTAATAAGTAGCTAATAGATGCTGTCACCTTATAAGTCCTAGAAGCAAGATTCAAATTTGCTGTCACTTAAATATCAAAACAAAGTGAAAAACTGCTCTAAGTGTAACATGAAATGACTATTATATGGCCTAGAATTATCAAAACCAAAACTTCTCCTTTCAGATACTACAAGAAAAAATTCAAAGTGCAATTTCAGAATTTGATCTTAAAAAAACAATTTTTGTGTATTGTTACATTTAATAATTGTTTTCAGAAATGGAAATTAGAAAGAAAATTATTTTATAATAATTCCCCTTCATCAAAAAAAAATTTTAAATGCCCTTTAAAGAAAAAAGTGAGGCAAGGCACAGTGGCTTATGCCTATAATCTCAGAATTTTGGGAGAGTGAGGAAAGAGGCCACGAATTCAAGATCAGCCTAGGCAACACAACAAGATTCCTTCTCTCCAGTTATAAAATAATTGGCTGGACATGGTGGCGCACACCTGTAGTCTCAGTTATTTGGGAGGCTGAAGCAGGAGGACTGCTTGAGGTCAGGATGTCAAGGTTGCAGTGAGCTATGATTGCGCCACTGCACTCTAGCCTAGGTGACAGAGTAAGACCTTATCTCTAAAAGAAGAAAAAAAAGGCCGGGTTTGGTGGCTCAGTCTATAATCCCGTGCTTTGGGAGGACGGGGTGAATGAACTGCCTGAGCCCGCAGGTTCGAGACCCACCTGGGCAACTTGGTGAGACCTCATCTCTACAATAAATCAAAAAAATTAGCCGGGTGGGGTAGCGCACGCCTGTAGTTCCAGCTACTTGGAAGGCTGAGGCAGAAGGATCACCGGAGCCCAGCAGGTCGAGGCTGCGGTGGCCGGAAGCGTGCCACTGCACTCCAATCTGGGCGACAGAGTGAGATTCCAACTCAAAAAAAAAAAAAAATGATAGTAATGTTTAAGGTGAAATCTACCAGCTAAACATTCATATCGACATAACCTTACATTATGTTCAACACATGCCAAATAAATTAATAATTATTCTTATAACTGTATTCAGAGAAAAATGGATAGATCCACTAATACATACCAAGATAATTATAAACTACCTCAAAAGACTTTGGGCCTGCTAGTCTGCCCTAAGTATAGCCCAGCTTGACCCACTCTAAATAATTAAGGTTACAAAAATAGAAATTTTCAAACACAAAATATTCACAAACTAAATTCTTATAAAACTCATTCTACTCCAACTCTGATACATATTCATAAAGGCAACTCTGAATTGCCTGTGTTGCTGGTGAAATTTAGTGAAATTCTATGATTCAGCCAATCTAGAATAGCATTAGAAACTGAAAAAAAAAGAATGAATAGGTCATCTAACCCATCTGATTTCTCCCCCAAAAATGTATTCCCACATGCAGCTGATGAGCCCTGCCTAGCGAGCACTAAATATTTGCCCAAGAGAGATGACGCCACTGATGGATCATAACTTTTCACTAGAGGTCTTCCTCTTCTGCAAGAGAACAGGTATAAACACGTACCTATGGGCTGATACTTGAGAGTAAGCCGAGTGTACCAGGTGTCCTCAAGCTTCTTCAGGGCTTCATTATCATGCAGTGGAAACACCTGAACCACGATGCCAGACGTGAGTAATCTTCTCACTGCACAGGGAAAATGTGCCAAACTACATGAAACAGACTGGAGATTGCTCATGATACGCTTCAGTAAACACCAAAAGGGCACTCCATGAAAGAGCATGACACAAAGGTCAGTGTCAAACTGCCTGCTCCAAATGTGTATATTCTTTTGTTTTTCAAACGTAAATATCTTTACTATTTTCTTTGACTATGAAAGCAATAAAAGTCAATATATAATTTTAAACTATATAGAAATGTGCCTAACTAGAATATGAGATGCCTCTGTTATTCTCTCCCTCTCCCCCAAAATAACCACTTTGGGCCTGCAAATAACAACTTAGTATATAACCAGACTTCAAAGCACACATGCATAAATACATACTATAAAAACAAAAACAGAATCATTTATACATATCACATTGTTCTGTAATCTTGTTTCAGGTGGTAGCATACAATGAATATTTTTCAATGACAATATAAATAGAATATGAAATGTCCTTTTCATAGTGTCATAGTATTCCCTTGTGTGAAATGCTACAATTTAATCTTCTATTAAAAATATTTGCTTCCCTTTTTTTTTTTGCTATTATAAATAATGCTGAAAGTCTTGTACAAACCTTTTCTCACCTGTTTATCTATTTCCTTATTACTTAAAAGTGGAATTGCTAGGTCCAAGGACATATGTATTTCAAATTTGGACACACACTACAAAATTGCCTCTAAAAAAATTTAATCAATCTGTCTCCTGCGAGGGGGGCCAGCCCCTGCAGATATTGGGGGTCCCTGGTAGGAAATATGGCATCGGCAATTAATCTGGAGGGATAGATATTAAAAGAAAGAAAGATGGAGGGATAGATATAAAGAGAAAGAAAAAAAGGGGGAGAAAGAAAGAGACTGGACTCTGTCTAGTGCAGAAATCATTTAATGGGACAAACCGTAAGCCTTTTATCCTAAATTTTCACGGGTTAAATTACAAGACTTTCTGTTCACATGAACACAAAGCCAGGTGGATGAGGGGGTCCCCCACCCACCAGGTGTTTCCTCAACCATGAGGAAGGACAATCCCAATTAAATCACAAGACTTTTACGTGAACACAAAGCCAGGTGGATGAAGGGCGTCCCCCACCCACCAGGTGTTTTTCCAAGCATGAGGAAGGGCAATCCCAAAATTATCTCACTGTTCCTTATGCTTGGTTAATGTTCCTCAAAAGCAATACAACAATTCTAACATCATAATATTCTAATAATCAATAACTTCTAAAGTTTATGCATACACAACACCTAATGACTAACTTAAATCCTAATACCTTTCTATTCTGTGCTAATTCTACCTACACTATAGATACTCTTAATTATAGCGCAAACCAGTTCCTAAAGAATGTGGCCCAGTCCAAAGATCACGCTGGGCCATTTCTAGGAACAATTGATTACAATCTCTTAACAAAATGGCTATTCTAAAATCTTATATATCTATCTTAATTTCTATAAAAGTTTCTAATTCCTAATCCTAATATATAAAGCTGATCATCAGCAATAAAGCTTCTAAAAATAAAACCCAAATATAAACTGTAAATTGTACTAAGGCCAAAACCACAATAGTAGAAAATGGGAACAATGAAATTTCTAAAGTTAGCTGTATTCTCATTAAACCTCAAAATATCATGTTTGATCATGCTTGAACTAACATAATTCCCTGATGTTAGCATGACCTATTCTACAATACATTCTATGAGTAAAATAAATTCAATTTCTATAATAAATAGAAAAACCCTACACTAACTGTAGCTAAAATGGTTTAAAAGAATGCAGCCCAGTCCAAAATACATGCTGGGCCCTTAGGAATGTGGCCCAGTCCAAAGTTCGTGCTGGGCCATTTCTGGTAACTCTAGATAATCATCTATACCATCTAAAGCTGAAAACAACTCTCCATATATATATACTAATCCTACAAATATACTTTTAAATCTTATAAAGAAGCTTGTACCATATAGAAGGCTCCCAAATGACCTGAGTTTAAATTATATCTAATACCCAAGCCGAAACCGCAGTTCATGGAAAACAGGAACAATGAGTTTCTAGAGTTAGCCATGCCTGTCACAGTCACAGAACCTTCAGCTTAGGTCAGCAGAGTTCCTTTTGGCTAAGTGTGCCAAATAGAAAAAGGAAGAAGGGAATGGGGTCAACAGCTCCCAAACACATCCTAGTGGTCTAGAGGTCCACGGCCCTCCCTGATCCCTAACACTCAAGTGGGCCTCCATGGCCGGCTCCCAACATCCTTCCATTACAATGAAGGTAAGATATGTTCAGTTCCTTTTCTTCTTATTGATACTGAGTATTTTCAATCATTTTCATCTCTTCTACTCTGATAAAAACAGTTTACAAAAACAAATGGCAAATATCAAAATCAAATTAAGACTTCCTACTTTCAGTAGTCATTTGACTAGCTTGCTTTTAACATTCATCCATATATCTGGAAGATAAAAACTAATTTAACCAGTCGGGTGCGGGGGCTCAAGCCCATAATCCCACCACTTCGGGAGGCTGAGGCAACAGGATTGCCTGGACCCATGGGTTCGAGACCAATCTGGGTAACATGGTGAGACCTTGTCACTACAATAAATCAAAACACTAGCTGGGCATGGTAGCATGCGCCTGTAGTTCTGGTTACTTGGAAGGCTGAGGCAAAAGGATTGCTTGAGACCAGCAGGTCGAGGCTGCGGTGGCTGGGAGCATGCCACTGCACTCCAGCCTGGGTAACAGAGTGAGGCTCCAACTCAAAAATAGATAAATGAATAAACAAATAAAAATAAAATAATTTAACCAAAAACAGTATCTCCTAGCAATATTGAATAAGAATGAGTAATTATGTCATCTGTAGTAATTATTTAGAATGGCTCACTGGGGGAGAAGGGTGTCTTCAGAAGGAATTGTTCAGTAGATGTGGAGAACTCAAGAGGAATGCCTTGTGCCATATTGGGGGGGGTTGGTATATTTTTCACATGAGTCTCTAGTATAGTCACTTACTGAAGAATATGGCTGCTTATAAGATGAAATCTGCATCAAGAAAGGATGTTTTGCTGTTTTCATCTGTTGATAAGATTTGTGCTCTTAAAGGGCTCAACCCTTTCGAGGGTTACCTCCCTTATCTCCTCTCTACCTGTCACTGACAGGTGGTGAGAACATCAGACATAAGACCCCTCCTTGATGACTGGCAAATAAATGTTTGAAGCATGAAAGAGAAACATCATTTACGTTTTCGGTATAGAAATACTACATAGAGATGGAGCATTCTCAGGACATGTCCCTATCATAAAATCTTCAGAGTAATTTAAAGCAAACCTAACTTCTCAGACACAGGGGAAAATAAGATAATAAAGAGGAGACATGTGATGCTAAAAACAGAATAAAGTTAGAATCTGAAGAAAAGATTCTTAATATATGGTTCTTCTTACTACTATATCTTCGTAAGTTATACAGACAAAAAAAGGTTTTAAAAGCTAAGGTTGTGATGAAATTCTCCTTAATGATTAAAAAAAGGTATATACTCAAAATATCAGTAACTAGGGTAAAAAGACACGGTTTAAGTTAACATCTGCCTCTGGTGCTGTCAAATTCATTTTTTAATATTTTTTGTTATAAAGTGTTTCAGAGGATTTTTCTTCAGCTCACATGAGCTGAAGTTGATCACCCACAACCATTCTGATTCTTATCCCTTATTCAGGTATGCAAAGGCTACAGCTGATTCTTTCTTCCTATTACTATCCTTTTCAATTACCATATCAAATTTTTAACTCTGAACTGACTTACAGCATATTATTATTTTAATTTTTAAATTAAAATTTTAAATATTTAAAGTTATCTTTTCAAAGATGACTCCATTCTACTACAGAAGAATTTTCAGGCAGTCATAAAAACCATCTTGTATACTTCTAAAAATAGAACTGTGAACTGAAGACTCAGAGAGGATATAAAGCTTCAGGTCCTAAATTACTGGGCTTCTCTTCACCATCAATGTCAAAAGCATGGTTCTGGTTTCAGTTTCTAAAAATAGAGGGGTGTGTGTGTGTGTGTGTGTGTGTGTGTGTATGTGTGTGTGTGTTTAATCCTTCAACCTTCTCATGTCAGGTAAGAATGTAATTACTAGGAAGGAGCCTCACCTTTAAAGGAATTATGATGCCATGTGGGCCTATTTAAAGAAAGCAATAACTTAAACCAGATTCCTTCCTTCAAGTGTGCTGAATAATCTCTTGTCACAACTGGGGTATGACCATTATAGCCATTATACAATAAGCCAAACAAATCAAAATCTAACTTAAGAAAGACTATCTGATATCTGGTTTATGGTAGGACACTCTAAATTAGATAATGCAGTAACAATACTAACACAGTACTGCTTCTGTCTTTGGTTTATGTAGTGTGTGTACTTCAACAGAAAAAACAAAAAATGTATCTCCAGCCTCCTTACAGCATCTCTGTACTGCAGGGAGGAGGAGGTCAAGCATACACTGCCTCCAATCCAGCAGAGGGGTGATGAGCCTCCTCGCTCCCTACAGCTGCTGCTACGCCCAGCACCCCGACTCCAGCACTCTGGTGTGAACAGATCACTTTTTCTTAATAAAAGAAAAAACATGCTCTCAAGGACACTGTGTTTTCCAAACACATTTTTTATGTTCCTGTATTCCTGCATTGTTTTCATCCTTAATATAAAAACTGCAAATATGTATGTGGCACAACAGGGTGAGTGTGAGTGAGTGTGTGTGTGTGTGTGTGTGTGCGCTGCAGTACCCGGTAATAAACATATACTGAGGATATCAATGGCTTATCTTCTTATGTACATTCTTGATACATGGTATTTATCTGCAATCTATTCCATTATTTAAAGATTTTAGAAGACAAATTGTTTCTGACCATTCTAGTTTGTCCATTCTTGTATATAGAAGATATTCAAAAGAAGCTACCATAATGTTCTAAAAGAATACTTAAAGAAAATGACTGACGGTACTGGGAAACTATGGGGAGGGAGG